TTCGTGTGGGTTTGTTGGAGAGAGATACTTATGCTTAATATTTTTTCACAAAGCTATGGTTAATATAAAAATCACTGTCATATTTTTTTTTAATTTGACAAATGAAATAAAAAAAAATGTATTAAAGCATACTCCAATATTACCAAAGAAGTTGATAACCTCTTCCTGAAGATGTACAAACAAATAGATCCACTGTTGTGTATTAAACGAAAACAAAACGCATAAAAAAGTATGTTTTTTTACAAGCTAAATGTTACCCTCGAGAAAATAGTACGTATTTGTTTTCAAGCACACCACCAAAAAAAAAGGTAGCCACGGGAAAATATCCCTGGGAAAAAAGAAATGATACAATGATGGCATATTAAAAGACAGCCAAAATAGGAAAAAAGAGGATTCCAGCAGCGGTAGGGTATTGGAAAACGACGACCGACATGTGCTCTGCAATTTCGCTTCAAAAAGAGCGTGTGCGAGGGGGTGGAAAGTAGAAATATAGCAGTGGGTGGACCGCGGGTTAAAAAGAGAGAGAGAGTACAACATCGCAAGTGCACTCGCGTGTATTTTCTCAATGTATTTACGTACTTGTGCACGTGTGCATACACACGTGGAGTGGCACTGCCAAGCTTCCAAAAGTTAATCAGGGGATTTTGCGGTGCGGCTCTGTATATACATATGGCTAAATTACGTGTGCTAGCTCTAGTGGGTTTTGGTTATGTTACGTTAATGCGACGTCCCGTGAAATTATTGTTTCAAGGGCTTCGATCTCGTCCAAATTTTTTCTGGTGTTAATGTTTCCAATTATATTTTTAATTAATTTTTTAAGGAAAATCCATATACCTGTTTGCGCATACTTCATTTTAAATCATTTTGCTTAAAAAAAACTATAGTCCGCTGGTGTAGGTTATGTTTAATACACCCGAGTCCTGTCAAACGTTCGTAATTCAAATTGTAAATACTAAATTAATGAACTAATCTGTAAAAATAAATTTCTACTGCGTGTTTTGGTTAATTTTGCTTTGGGTTACTTAAACTAAATTAATGGATTACTACGATGAAATAGCGATTTTCATACAAGACTAAACGTTCTAACTTAAAACGGAGGACACATTTATTCAGACATACCAGTGGCTTTGTCGGAAAAATCAATAAGTTGGGTGTGGTGGTGGTGGTAATACTCTTAAAATTTATTTTTCAAACATGAATTGTGTGTCTTCGAAAACACTTTGTCACTATTGATTAACATAGTAGGTATATGTACGCTCACGTTACCATCTCCATCTCAATGTGCAGCATCTGCCTTTCATTGTTGAAAATCAACCTTCAAGCTGTCCCGACAAATACCTACTCTCTGAACTTACTTTCGTCCCTCTTTTTTTTTTTTTCTTCCTATCTTCCTATGTCAAACCTCGTATTACTTTCCTCCATTTCCCCCGTCACGTGCTATATCTCACCCGAGTTAGCTCACATATGGGCTTGGAAGCGTGCTCGAGCTGGTTAAACATGAGATCTCCTCTTTTCGTCTCCACTTGTACGCGCCGTCGTAAAATGCTCGTGAAAAATCCATGCATTTGTTAAAGTAGAATTCGTCAAACTTTTTAAAAAAGTTATTCGTTGCAATAATTTTGATGCAGAAAACAATTTGATAGTTAAAGAAAAGTACAATAATTATTGTTGAAAGAAAAAAAAAAACAAAGTAAAAAATAATTGCGTATCCCCTTTTTTCTGATAAATATTTGTATCTTCCCCACAATTATGTACATCTGGATTTTTCAGTAGGTTTGCCGAATAGTTTACCTTTCAGTGCAACCCCCGTCTTTTCTCCGAAGTATCCACTTTGCCATCCATTCAGCCAAATACGCCCCCATACATCTTTGATTATCTTTCTTTGGGGTCGGAATGATCGACCTTATGTATCACGGCGACCCTCCATAAACCTCTTACGTTTCACTCTCGCTATATTACTTTCAATGGTATACAAAATAAAGGCACGTACAAAGCATAAATCAAATAATAATAATAAAAAAAAGTAAAAAAAAAATGCATTAGGCCATTATTTTTAAAAAAACAACAGAGCTTTGTGATCGAGTATTTTCCGTGAAAATTCATAGAATAGAAAGACCATAAAAACGAGCCTTAAACTCTGTAAGTTTAAAAAAGGAAAAACTTCATATTTATTAGTCGAAGTAGTAATGAAGTGGATTTACTCCGATCTCTTGGGCATTGACGTGCAAAAGAGGAAAGAAAGAAAGGGAACGGAAATACTCGGGAGATTTCGAATTCTCCGTGGATTCGACAGCGAGTTTTCACACGGAGAAATAACACGAGCGAGAGAATTGATTTGTATCGATTTTGGGGATGAAAGAGGTATAAAGTTATCATTGCGTTTGAAAATTTTTTTTTATCAAGAATTATTTTAAAACTGTTTTAATACATCTGCACTTTTGTGATTTTTACTTGATGTATTTTTAAAATCATCCATAAAATTAAGTGTCAAAATTCTAAAACTAAAACATCACAACTTGGAATTCCCTCTACAATTCTCACTTTCGAACTCATAAACTTGAAATAATTAATAAACATTATTCATCAATGCGAGGGCTAAATTAGTACATAATGGGCGTCGTCACATATGTACATCAGAAAACGTAATTGACGCAGTGTATGACGCGGTATATACACCAGAGCATTACAACTTGACAACTATACGATAATGTAGCTGGTCGTATGCACCAAAATGTCGATAACATCTCATTTTAGTACTTATAGTTTAGGACTATATTAATCACGAGCGAGTAATGTTTTTTGTCGGGAATTTATGACCTTTTTGAAAAGGATTGGCTGGATATGAGTAAATGAATTATTTGGGGAAATTATTTTGCTTTTTTTTTTGTAAATGGGTCATAGTTAAAATAAAATAAATCTTTTCTGTGACAGTGTATAAATTTGCAGAATTTAATGGGAAATTTCAATCATAGCTGCAATTCAGTACATTTATTTAATCTACTAGAGAGATTGTAAGATGACTTGCACAGTAGTACCGTAAAGAAAACCTTATTCAAATTCAATTTCATAGTAAGTAGTGAGTTTGTTTCATTTTGTAAGGTTCGTAATTTAAACTGACCGAAATGATTATTTGCCTTATTTGCGTAACACGTGCGAGGTTGATCTGCTTTTTGTGCTTCGTAGCTGTTTCAAAAGCATTAATTATGAAAATTTTCTGCTGCTCAAAGCTTGGGCTGAAAATAAAATTTCAATCAACTCGTGTTTTAATTAATGCGTACTCGTAAAGTTCTCATTCATTTTAATTTTAAAAATTTTCTAAAGATTAAAAAAAAGTATAAAATAATCTTATCAAACAGTAAAGTAATAAACTACATAAAATTATTTAAGTGGAAAAGTAAGAAAACTGTCAGACTCAAGTTATTAAAAGTAAATACTTGCGTCATGAAACCGCAAGCATAATTTTTTTTAAACTACGCACGCGAACTGGGTCAGCTAAACTTCCTAAAAAAATCTGTAATTGAAAAACAAGTGATGGATTTTTATATGTACATGAGACAGTGT